CTGTTTGACTAATTCGTTTGTTTGTTTGTTTGTTTGTTTTGTTTTTTTCCTTGTTTTCTTTCTGTTTTTTCGCCTTGGCGCTCTGATATCATGTGACAATATATATCTATTGTCACAGGGATCTGTTTTGTTGCCCCCTGTTCTGTTTTATTTGGCTGTCCCCTTCCTCTCTTCTTTGCCTCTTTGCCTTTTGGCTGTGTGCAAGTGGGTCGATATGACACACGGGGGTGGGGGCAGCCGCCGCTCAACCTACATCCACGTGGGCGGCCTTGTACGCAAGAGGTTCTGAACAGGGGGAGTTGTAAGGAAGAAGATTAAAAACGAATTAAGGTTTTTTTTTTTTTCCCTTGTTTTCTTTCTGTTTTTTCGCTTTGGCGCTCTGATATCATGTGACAATATATTGTCACACTGTGAATCAGAGCGAGAAGGCGAAAAAAAGCAAAACGAGGAAAGGAAAAGAAGGAAGGAAAGCCAAAGCCCCACCTGTTCATCGCCTCTTACGTACAAAGCCAGCCACGTGGATGACAGGTTGAGCGCTATATATATTGTCACATGATATATATACGTTTGGCCAGAGCCCGCTTTCCAGATACTCCGAATAAAACCCATGGGGACTTCGGCAATGATAGGAGACAGCCATGGCACCCGCTGCAACGTTGACTCTGCCTATAAGAAGAAGCCAGCGCGTAATCCAGGCTCCCTGAGAAGGGGGGATCGCTGAAGGGGGAGGTGGCTGGGGAGGAAATGGGGATAGAAGTACTACCATAACATCAGCTCTTGACGTTGCAATTAAAGTACTACCATGAAATGGGATGGGGGAATTCCGAACAGCACACAACCAATTGCGTACACGCTAAACGAGTGACAAAAATAACGCACATATAATTTGCATAAAGTTTTAAATGAATTACAAATAACATGCATAATTTACATCAAGTTCTCTTTTTCCTAACTACATGAATCGACCGATTTCGCTGAAGAATTTCTTCCTGACAAAACAAAAAACCGTCTCGCACAAAAACGAGAGAAATCCACTAGCACTTACTTCATGCAAAAAAAAAAAAAAAAAAAAAAAAAAAAAAAAAAAAAAAAAAAAAAAAAAAAAAAAAAAAAAAAATTTATTTTTTTTAAAAAAAAAAAAAAAAAAAAAAAAAAAAAAAAAAAAAAAAAAAAAAAAACCTCAAACAAATTATCATGTTGCATTTTTCCGCTTTGAAATTACATGAATCCACCGTTTTCGCTGAAGAATTTCTTCCTGACAAACAAAAAACCGTCTGGCACAAAAACGAGAGAAACAAAAAAAAAAAACTCAAACAAATTATCACGTTGCATTTTTCCGCTTTGAAATTACATGA